TAAAATATAATTATAGAAAAAAAAAGAAGTTGTCAGAATGGCTAACAAAAGTCAAACAAGACCAAATAAAACCCACTATCAAATATAAAGAATTGTTAAAAGTAAAACAATATGAAATACTGTTGTCAGTTGGCATAATATGTTTCATAAAGTTATGCTCTACCTACTAGTTTGGTGAGTAGTACCTGGAGTTTTAAAAGTTAGTAAGTGACCATCTAAGATGAAACTACTAGTCCCTATCCATCCAGAGCAAAAGAGAAACAAGGACCAAAGACTCAAAGAAAAAACTAACTTACAGGACAGTTTATACAAACCATGACCTCATCTACCCTGTGATCAGAAGAACTAGACGATGTTTAGCTACTATTACTAACCATTTTAATCAGGGCCACAATGGATGGACCTAAACAGAATGGGAAAAAGAAGGAACTTCAATTTTCTTTTAAAAAATCAAGCCTATTTGAATCAGCTAAGAGTTTAAAACACCTAAAGACTATTATCCTAAGAAATAATGAATACTTTTGGTAAATATTGTGGTCCTTTAGAAAATAATCTGGATAAGGCCAAATAATCAATAATTATATTAAAAGAAAGATGACCCATCAACAAACGAATGGCTAGAGAAGCTGTGGTATATTCGCACAATGGAATACTATGCTGCATTAAAAAACAAGGAACTCATGCAATATTATTCAAAATGGTTGACTCTGGAGAACATTATGCTGAGTGAAATATCCCAGTCACAAAAGGACAAATATTACATGATGCCACTGTTGTAGAATGGGACTGTCCTTGGGGCTGGGGAGAGACTGTGTAAGATGGGTTCAATAATGTGTACTGCACTGAAACAGAGGAGGGAGAGAACCGTTTAAAAGAGAGATGTAACTGGGTATTTCTGTCATCACAGGAGACTGGAGCGAGGGCTGCATGGTGGAGGGGACCTGGGGGAGGGTTTGTAAAACAATGAAAGAATCTTTTCTTTTACTTTTCCATAATTTTTGGACTCATGTACTTATAACTTGTTAGTCAAATTTGTGTCTTCTAGGTTGCAACACCCCCATGATACATCTTCAAGGATATGTACATGTACAGCCAAGCACAATCAATAAGAGTGCATCTGAATTCCAAAATCAATCTCCATAATAGTCTATGTGTTTCCTACTGCCAAAGGGGCCCTTTAGAGTAGTGAGAGAAGATCTTCACCCTGAAACCCACAGCGTCCCTTTTCAGCAGGAAGTAGCTAAGAGAATACGCCGTGCCCTTTTCCTTATGACTCAGGGTGAAGTCTCTCTCAGGGAGGAGTGATAGGGAATGGCAAAGGACACACTGACAAAGAAGATTGATCAGAACTGGCTTTGACAAGCACTGTGGCATTTGGACAAGAACAAACTGGGAGGAGGGTAGAGAGAATAGTGCAACAATGAATGAGTGGAAGCCCAAAATCTCTGTAAATTTTTATGAAAATTAATAAAATATAATTATAGAAAAAAAAGAAAGATGAGATTAATGAAAATTGAACAATTAAAATGCAAACAATTAGGATGCTGACACATTGTGAAGAATGTAATCTTTGTCACAGAACAAGTTATACAGAAATTGTTAAATGAGAACTCAACATTATTTAAATTTTTACTAAAAAGAGTTTACTCAACAACCCACAGAATATGAAATTATCTTTTTAAGTGTACATGAAGGAATCACTAAGGTAGACCACATTCTGTACAATGTATCAATTAGCAATCTAAAAGCATTGAAATTACACAAATCACATTCTTGGACAAAGCTGTTGTTGTCAGGCGCTGCTGAGTTGAGTATGACCCATAATGACACTATGAACAACAGAACTGAACCCTGTCCTATCCTGTACTTTCTTCACACTCCTAATACATTAGAGTCCACTGTGCAGTCATCATGTCAATCCACCTGGTAGAGGGTCTTCCACTCCATCAGTGACCCTTTGCCCTTCCAAACAACATGTACTTCTCCTAGGAAGAGCCCCGCCCTAGCAACCTGCCTGAAGTATAATCATCTTTGAAGCTTCATCATCTTTGACTCCAA